AGAATTAATTTGCTTGGCAGACAACATATCCTTGCTAGCAAACATCCGCATATGCACACATACGCTGACATATGCAAACATATAAACATACACACACACACATGTACGTAGTTAATTAAGTGCGCGCACACACATGCGCCACCATAATCTCCTCGAAAAGCGTTTCAGTAGCTTTCTAGGCAACCCGCTTCAGTTTGGCGTTGGCGCGCGACTTGCTGTCATTTGCTGTGCCGCTGGTGTAAAACAGCGAAATTTAGATGGAGCCGCTCTTTATCTATTGCGGCGCATCTAACAGCGTTTTGGCACCACTCGTGTGGCAAGCCTCAAGGCTAAGCGTGCGCCACAGCATCGAAAGTGAAAGCGATTTCTAATGCCAGCGACTATCCAAATTCATCGCAAGCACAAACAAAAAAATGTCGAATGGTGTTTCCATTGTCAAACGCTCCCCAACTGGCGCATATCCTTGCGGCACATTCTTATCGACGCCCGAGCATTTTGTTTGTGGCAGTTGTGCCAGCATTGTTGTTTTGTGGCTTCTAATGAAATTCCAGCGGCATACGAATGCGGAACTAACGCATTTTCTAACAACAGGCCAACAAAATGCGCCAGCAAGCGAAGCCGGAAGTGAATTACATAATGTTGCTTCCGTCGCCACACTTGGCAGCTAACTTGCCTACGTGTTGTTGTTAGGAGTGGGCGAAATGTGCGGTATTTCTATTTGTTGACGCTCACAACAGATGTATACATACAATAGCAACAACTACAGCAACAATGGAGCACATTATAGCAAGTCCACAGTCAAGCGAGCGCCAGCGAATCAATATCCTTGCGACAAAACACTCAAAGCGCATGCACAAAGCTGTACAAGTGTGTGTATATGTTTGAATGATTGTTATTGTAATTTTGCTGGTGGTGAATTTCCGTGTGACGCCATAAACCACACAGCCCTTATACTGTGCTCTAACAATGCTCATTTGTTTGCCGTTAGTAGAAAAGTGCTCGTGCGGTCCACGCGGTCGCCTTTTGCTGTTGTCCTATTGCAAAATTGTTTTGTAAGTTAACTTTTTCCCACCAAAAATTTATCTGAACATAAAATTATTTATGAAATTTGGAAAATTGCCGCAAACGATGCGCTTGGAATGTCGTCATTTTATTTGTGGCAACACTAAGCGTCGAACGAAGTACCCTCCACCGCTTTGCATGCATTGGAATTTCGCTCTAATTCTTCGTTAGATTCATTTCGTGCGTTTGCTGGCGCTGTTCGCCGGTTCTTCGGCAGCCGAAAAATGTTTGACTGCATTTTTGTTTCCATGCATACACATCGGCATTTTGTATAACGGTTTATAGTCAGTATGATTTGTATGTTGACCTTGGTGACCCCACGTATTGGCCGGGCCAGCTGTATGCCTTTGTCATTTCTGTTTGCCTAACGTCAGTATTTTCGTGGTATCCAAAATGTTATCGACAAACTGTTTAGCTATGTTAGATATTAACGGCATTTTTTGTGGCGCTAAATGAAGTTTGTGGAAAATGTTTGGGGCTGAGTGATAACATGATGTTATTGGCTTTTGGCATTAGGACTGCAGAAGAGCGATAAGTGGCAGCGAAATATTTTCATTGGTGACTTATGAGAATAAATAAGAATTCTTGAAAGCAAAAAAATTTTATGAGTTGCGTATCGGTTGGTAAAGTTTTAGGGTGCCGAAGCTCTTACGAATATGGTTATGTTTGTATATATGGATGTACAACGGACTAAGGTTGAAATAAATAAAAATAAATAATAATAAGAATAGTAGTAGTATGAAACTCATTTCAAAAGGAAGAGAATATCGAAAAACTGAAAGGTTAATATTTACGGGCGACTTTTGGTCGGGAAGTGGAAGGTTGAGGGTTTACGGTTATCGAAAAAACTAAAAGCCCTATGAAAAATATTAACATAGTTAAGTTAAAGGTAGTAAACAGAACTAAAGCTTTTGAGTTAATACTTTTTCACATAACCTCAAAATATATGTGAAAAATTCAAATGTCAAAGCTTGTGGTATTTTACTTTTATCTTTTACGATTTTTTTTTTCATGAAATTTGGGATAAACTAAGATTTTTTAATGTTCCAAATACAACACTGTAATTTTTTTGATTTAATATATTTATTTTTTTCACTTTATTTCGATAATATCGAAAAAGACCATAATTTTCAATCGAAAATTTTCACGTCACAATATCTGCTTTCAAAAAAAATCGGTTGTGGTTTTCTTCGTTGAAACCGTTATTATTTATATATTGCTGGAAAATATTGTCAAAATCAATCTCAATTGCAAAAAGTTAATTGGTTATTTTAAATATGTAAAACTTTTGTTTTTACTTATTCACATTAGTAAATTCTTCAACCCTGGAATATACTTGTAGTGAGAATACTTTCAAAATGTATAATGTATGTATAAATAAAAAGCAAGAAATTATTAAATTCTCTGTATATTAAAAAGAAATTAAAAATGTACCAAAAGCATATATAAAACAAATTTGGTGTGTGACTTCGATAAATTAGTTAGTTATGCATGCTAAATGTAGGCAATCATTTATTCAAAATACTAACCCGCATTACTGAATGAAAAATGAAACGACTAAAATTTTAATGGAAAGAATAATATAAATAAACCTTTAAAGCTTTGGATGCTTTTTGCGTTGACAAAAACATTTTTAATAATATTCTTATACCTCAAACGTTGCTGATTATAAGCAACCTATAGTGATGAAAATACATATTTCGTAAAAATTAGGAAAACAAATTAATATGAAAATTGTATACCTGGATTTTAAGAATAATTTTTAGCAGTAATTTTCTCAAAATATATATTTGAATATGGTTCATATTGCTATAAAGCCGATAAAAAATACTTAAAGTACTCAAAAAGCATAGAAAGCAAAATGTGACTATGATGAATGAGTTTGGTATTACTCCTGAATGTAGGCAACAATTCAGATAAAATGCCATCGCATGAAGGGATATTGACAAGCAAAGAGTACAAATACAAAATATTATTTATAAAACATAGTAATAAACGAATGACATTTTTAGTAAAATAATATAAACCTTTTCTTTTTTTCGAAAACTGTGTATGCACGACTTCGATGGATTGAAATTATATAAGCATATCCATATAATAAAAATGGTTTCCAATAAAATAAAGTCATAAAGTAGATAGAAGATAATATCTTTTAAGAAATATGAAAAAATAAAAAAAATATAACATAAAAAGGAAGTACTTGTATAATTCCCATACAGGTCTTTGAAAAATTATATATAAGTAGAAAAGTTTGGGTTACATATTGCAAAATAATGAGATTGTTACAGAATAATTCCGAAATCTGGTATATTTTTAACGTACGGCATCATGTATACCTTAACTTAAATTGAATTTAAGTATGACTCCTAATTGTAGGCAATGCTTGACTAATTGATGTATGAGAGAAAATAAATGATGTTTTTAATAAGCGTGGCTACATTTAGCGTCTACAAATTGTGTAATCAACAGTTATAAAAATTGCACAAAGATGTGTAAAAACATACAATAAAGCGGGATTGATATTCATATATACATATGAATGCCTCTATTGTCGCAATACACCTCAGCTAACGACGACACCACATCACTCCCACCCAAAACACTTTTTTTTCGCCTGAAATATTAATAGAAAACTCATACGTTGTATATCCTTTCTAACAGATCCTATTCTCCCGATGCTTTTGCGCAACAAGGGTAACTTTCACTGATTTCTTTCTACACGTCATCAAGATAAGAAAGTACGATCCTGGGGCGAAACATGAAAACATTTGTGTTGGCGGAAGGTAGGGAGAAAGCGGCAAAAAAAGTGAAAGTTTTATAGTGCATATTCAAAGTTTTTTTTGTGCGCCTAAAAGCACACTATATACACGTAATCCTTTGAAATATCTCTTCGCTTATATGAATGTGAAAAAGTACCAAGAATAAGGGTTGTTTGTTTACAGTTAACGCACACTAGCATGTAGAAAATTCTCATACGGGATATGTGCAGTTATGTTAGTGTGTATTTGTGGTTTGGGGGTTGCAACTATTACCATAAGCTTTTGTTGCATAGTATGCATACATATGTGGTGGGAATATGTGTAGTTTTTGCGCGGAGCGTGTGTTAGTAAAGAGTCCTCGGTCACTATGGCGTATGTACGATAGTTTTGCATGCTTTCACGCGACTACTGGGCGCCTAGTGCAACGATATGGTAATATTGTTAGTTTTGAAACATAACTATTTCGCTAATAGTTTCGCAGTGCAAATGAGTGCGACTTTGATGGGAGTGGTAGTTCAGAAGGAGCATTAGAAAAGCATTTGTGACTAAGGAAAGAGTAAGCCGCAGAAAAATGGTAATGGGACAAAAAAGTTTGTCAGACATACGTTTCAGTGGAAATGCTGTGGAAAAGCGAAAATAAAAAAAGTCAGCTTTTTCGTTTTATATATGTAAAATACCCCTTCAGTGCTGTCCGGAAAGTTGTTCACATGAAATGTCAACGTTGTAGCATAAGGAAGAATCTGGCAGCTCCCCTCTGCCACTTATGCCCGCAAATAAATAAATAACTAAATTAATAATAATGGCGTATAATAAATCCTCCAAACACCTACACTCTTTGCTGTTCGCCATGTCGTAATTTATGAAGGTCTAAATATCCTGCGCGCCAAGTAATGCGCCAGCAAGACGCTGCGTGCGCTCTACACGCGGCAACGCGGCAAATGAACGATGCTTCTATGAACTCGTACGGTATACCGTAATATATGTGGAGCACTACTTTCCCCACAAAAAGTCATCAAAACTTATGCACCTGCCTTATCAACGGCAAAAATACGCAGTATAACCGTTAAATTTTTTATCAGCCGCACAGTCCGTATGATTAGTATGATTTGTCACCGCTTATTCTCACAGGTAAACTAATAAAAAATGCCATGATTTGTTGATAAAGATTGCATAATTTACCTGAGTTCAGCAGGCGTCCAGAAAGCCGAGCACACAAACGCTTTGGGGAATTTTTCAGCGAAAAAATGAAGCCAGGCGCCAACTGAAAAAGTCAAGAGCAAGTTAAACGTTGAAGTGGTGTAGTAAAGAAAGTCCTGCGGGATACTGTTTAAAGTAAGAGAAAAGGTTAGGCGCTTGACGGCAGCAGCAGCGATAGGAGGTCGCAGTACCGCAGAGCAAAAACACAACCAAAATAAGTGAACACATAGCGAGAGATAAAAGTTTGCTGTACTCATACGCAGTGAGAGAAACCATCAGAGCACATATCTATATATGTACGAGAGGCTTTGCTTGGCAACACATCGCTAATGGCAACTCGATTTTTTTTCAAATTTTTCTTGTGGCAAGCAGACAGTTTCTACTATGAAAGAAAGTTAATACATACATATTTACGCACACACGCGCATAAAACCCTTATAACACTTACATACATACATATATGCATACGAAAGATATTTTCTAAGCATTCGACATTTCTAAATTAGCTAAATGGATGTCGCACAACAAATCAACAAAGCCCCTCAAACCATGAGCTCCATGCACATTCACGCCCACATATGTGTTTCTAATGTCATACCGGCACGCCTGTAGCGTTAGAAAATTCTATATCAAATGCATGCAAGGAATTTCGATATTAGAAAGTGACAGGCGAACAGCACGCGGCAATAGGCCGGCACTGGCATTAGAACATTTGATACCACAGCTGTTGGTGTATGTTACACACATACATACACATGCTTACATACAAAAATAGAAGTATTATAGAAGTATGCTTACATTTTACTACAACAACAACTAACCACCTGAAAACGCATTCATGCGCACAGACGCACAGACAGCTCCCACATATGGGTAAGCATCGTGTTCTATAAGCTTCGTGTAGAGTGTCGCCCGCGAATGGTGAGGGTGGTTTGGCGAAGTGCGTTTGGCGCTCAGCAGACGATGGTGAAATACTTTCGGAAAATTGAGATGCTTGTGAGTATAGATGTAGATATGTTATATGTGTATACAAAATTCATACTCGTGATTATATTGTATAAATATTTGTAAAGTAAATATGTATATATGTATATATGTACAAACTTGACTACACACAAAAGACTGTGAGCTTGTCCAGTAATGCGTTATAAGCAGGATGTGTATATAAACTTTTTACCACAGTTATGTTTATGCATTAGGGTGTGCCATAAATCTGTGAAAATATTTTTATACCATATTTACTAAACCGTATAAGTAAACTTAATTTGTAAAGTGGTATAAAACTTTTCTTCACTTAACTGATTCGATGAAGGGCGTGACACCGCCAACTTTGAGGTGGAGCAACTACTCGACCAAGTATATATGTATATATATATTATTTCCTTAAACTCCGGTTGGAACATATTGAATAAATTGACGAACATATTAATGAAACTAGGTGAAGATCATTACCATACCACAATTAGATCTGACGTCGAAAATAGATAGAATCGGTTCAATACTTCCCCTACTCCCATTTATCTAATATAATGACTTTTGAAATTCAGGTCAGTATATCGGCTAATTATAATCGGCCAGATATTTAATATAATGTTATATATATGACACAATCTAAAATATATATAATCAGTATTTAAGGCTCACCCTAACTAACAAAAACACATACACTTTCATACTAACAATCAAAAATATCGATGATAGCTCAACTACTATCTATGAAACGTCCTTTGATCGCCGCCTGTTACCAAAGAACTTCACCGCTAAACAACAGTTGGCATTCTTGACTACTCTGAAAGAATGGAATGTAAGCCATATGATGAAGCTAAATATTCTCATGTGCAGGAAATGAAAATGTCCATTTATATTAACTAATCAAATCAGTCGCACCTTTTGCCTGCAACTCTGCATAATCGCCTGGTATTTAAGCTCAACTGGAGTTGGCCTTAGTGGCGCTTATTTATTTGCAAATTTAGTCGAAAGCATTGAAAAGCATAATAATTAAGAAAAATGTATTTGGCTGCTTGCTTATGCTTATGCGTAAAAGCATAGCTATGAGGAAGTAAAGCGTTCTTGAAACTTGTTTTGCTTTAAGTTCACAGGGACTGTAATGTACGTAAAAAAAGCTTTAAAAGTTTGGAAAATTGCGCTTTTGGTAAGATTTTGTGCATAAAATAAATTGAGTAGACTTTTCATATATTTTTAGATTATTGACCTTGTAGTGACTGAAAATCAAACTGAGCTCTATAACTGAACGATTATGATAATTAAGCTAAACCTAAATAAGTGTAACTTACTTATAAGTAACATAATCTAAGCGCTTTGTGAGGATGTGACTTTGGTTTTATTGAGCTTGAAAACTTTTTTATAGCCATCGCGTAACAAAGCTTTGATATCGACTTGGTCCACAAACTTTTGATTTCCAAGTATGAAAAAACTTTAGAACTTTATTATCCGTTTAAAGTATTTTAAGCTCCCTTGGAAGTAAACATATTTTCCCATTTCTATATTTGCTTAATTTTTTCCAAACAATTAATCTAATTAAGCTGGTGAATTACTTTGAAATAAAGGAAATATTTTAATTAATACAAAAGAAAGAAAAAATATTTTTCGTTTCATGTTTTTTATAATTTTTAAGTTAAAATGATTAACCGAGATGTAAGCTGCATTGAAGTAAACTTATTTTTACTTAACTGCGGTGTGGTTTACAATGACATCTTTCCTAATCAAATATAAAATATATATTTTTGTTACCTCAAGGGGTTTGAGAGGTCATGCCGATCAGGAAAGGGTGTGATTTTGCAACTAAATTGGTGTAAAGGAATCAAAGCAGATAATCTTGCGGCCAAATGACAGTTCCGTTCCTTGATATGATACGGCAAACAAAAGATTGTTCCAAAAAATAGAAGTTTTACGTATAATATTGCTTGGTGCCTAACCATTCACGGTAACGTTTTCAAAAATAAATATGTACCGAAAATATTTTTTAATGTAAGGGAGCCAAAAGGGTCTCTTTAGAGTTGTTCACACCATAATAAATTGAAAATAATTTGACAATAAAACTGTAAATATGAATTTGACGCACAGAACGCAAGATTTGGAAAAAAAATATTCAAGGATTGTTAATCGTTATGTCTTATTAGGGGTTTATATCCACTAAGATGTCAAAAAAACAAGAAAAACGTTAACTTCGGTTGCACCGAAGCTATAATACCTTTCACATATACAAAGGTTCCTTACAAAAACTTGATTCCGATCTAATTTCGTGAAGATACCTCGTCAAATAAAAAATGGCTAAATAAACTCAGCTCATTATGCTGATCATTTATATATATATTTTTTAGGATCTCCGACATTTCTTTCTGGGTGTTACAAACTTCGTGGCAAACTTATTATACCTTGTTCAGGGATATAATTATTATTGATTTTTGACCAAAGCTTCAGGAAAAAAACACAATTTTTATAAAAAAATTAACACTTCAAAGTACTTTATAAAGTCAAAATCGTGACCTAACAAATATATAAAAAAAAACAAATCGTGTCAAAATTTGAAGTTGATCGGCACAGCAGTTTGGAAGACATATTCTTCACCGACTCTGAAAAAAGCGTTTTGGAGCGTTGGAAGGTTTTGGAGCCAGTGTAGTCGGTAAGTTAAAATTTGTTTACAAATACGCCCACATCTCCGGATCAACTACAAATTTTTGGAAAATATTCTCAAATACATACATTCAATATTAAGGGTTTCCAACAAGAGTTTTATGTATAAAAAAAACACACTAATTGTTAAGGAAAATCATATACAGTATAATCCAAACAATTATGTTCTTCTTATAATATCATTCAAAAGGTCTCCACGACCGACGACTTTTTTAGCAGGAACGAATTCGATGAACCCAGTTTCCAAGTATTTTTTCCACTAAATCAAGTCAAGTCATGAAAAGCACGTTTAATATTGACTTCTAAAGCTTGAGGAGAGTCTGGTTTATTGCTGTTAAAGACCAATGACTTCGAATAACTCCACAAGCAGTAGTCTAATGGCGTTTAATCACAACTTCTTAAAGGCCATTCAATGTCACAATTTCTTAAAATTATCGAATCTCTAAACTTTTCTCGCAATAATTGGGTTGTTGCACGTGCTGTGTGGTAGGTAGCCCCGTGTTGTTGGGATCAGATGTTGTCAAGATCAACGTTTTTTAATTGCGGGCATAAAAAGTTGGTTATTAGCGATCTATACCGCTATCCATTGACAGTAACGGTGTCACTAGCTTCATTTGGAAAGTAGTACGGATCGATGATTCCACCAGACCAAAAACCACACCAAACGGCCAATTTAGGTGAATGTAATGGTTGTTCGAGAATAATTTGTGGATTTTCTTCGCACCAAAATCGACAGTTTTGTTTATTTATTGGACGAATAGCAATTATTACGACCATAAAATGGAAAAAGCGCACGAAAGGTAGCAATTGGAAAACGATTATTTTGATAATAAAAATGAATCATTTGTAAACGTTGTTCTTGCGTATATATACTGAAAAAAAAAATTACTGCCTATTGGAAAACCCAATATATGCAAACAACTAAATCTAAGTCAAAACTAAAATGTTTTTGAAATTCACAAGTGGATATGACCGGTAGATAGGGCCTTAAGCACAATACTTGAATGGAAATTTACTTATGTATAATGAGCAGAAATGTATTGTTATTTGGAAGCTGCTTTAACAGCTGTCTGTATAGAGAATTCTATGTAACTGAAAGACACCCTGTGTATACAAGTATAAAATATGCAAACAAAATTACAGGAAAAGTTATGTCGTTTTTAGCTAAAATATTTAATACAAAAAATTAATGTATTTAAAATTTATTTTAAATATTAATTAATTTAAAATTTATTTAAATTGTTACCTCGGTTTAAGCACCCTGTAGACAAATTCACAATATATATTAAACCAAACTGGTGGCAAGCGACACATTCGACATAACCAAGGAGTGAATATACCTTATTAAATATCATATACTCGTATTTGAAACATGTCGACCTCGGGGCGCCATGGAGACACGTTCCAACC